CCACAGTGAACAGAAGTAGTTAAGTTTAATAAGAAGCAGGTTTTTAAAGATTTATTTATTTGTTTTACGTTCACTGATGTTATGCCTACATGTAAGTTTGTGTGACGGTGTTGTGTGTCCTAGAACTGGAGTTATAGACAGTTGTAAGCTGCCATGTAGGTGCTGGAATTGAACCCAGTTCCTATGGAAGAGTACATCTCTCCAGCCCCAAAGATGTACGTTTTGTTGTTATTCAGGATAATAAAGATTGGAGGATGTTATGGACCAAGATCTGATAAGAGGATGAAAGACAGTGGGGGAATAATCTTGTCCCTGATGCACTGAGATACAATACAATTCAGGGGATAAAAAAACATAAAGATGTACAGAGAATTCAAGACATAAGAAAGAAATGTATTGACTAAGAAAGTCTCCCCAGATTCTAAACAATATGAGACTAACCATTTCCTCCACTTCTAATCACCTATACTTGACAGAGGACTATCAAAGGAATGTATGGATAGAACCAAAAGACAATTATGTATTGCTCTGTATGATAGATTTTAATGAAGAATTTTTTCATTAAATAGCAGTATTTTCATATTCTGAGAGAGCATAGGCACAATTGATTTTGTTTAAAAGATGAAGCAGGGAGTAGAAAAATTGCTCAGCAGTTAAGCACACTTCTTCCTCTTTCACAAAACACAAGTTCCCAGAATACACATGATAGCTAATGACCACCTGTAACTCTAGTTCCAGAAGATACGCCATCGTCTTCTGGCCTGCTTGGGCACTGCAAGAATATGGTGCATAGACATGCAAGCAGACAAGACACTGAACACAAAATGAAAATAAGTCATGTTAAATGCTAAACGGTGAAGGAAACCAATGGAAGATATGACAATGACAGCAGCAATACTGGACTTAATGAACAGCTCATATGCATGGTCCAGATATTCAGAAACACACACACACGGTCCTAATGGAAAAGACTTAGAGACAAGCCTGATGATTTTCAGAGCACCCAGGATGCAAAAATGCAAAGAAGCAGACAGATATCCTCCCTCACCCAAATAAAAGTATTGCTTTGTTCACTTTCTACCTATAGGAGAGAGATTAAAACTTTATTAAGAAAATGAAATAGAAGATACTAAACTTTAATAGCTTTCTCACTGATTCTAACTTTTGACTCCATGGACTAAATAAATAAATAAATAAATAAATAAATAAAATCCCAGCTGAAATGACAGTCCCAGGTTCAGCATGTGTTTGAAATACATATATTTTTCTTAGAAGATTCAGTGCATATTTGAAATAAAGATATTTTTCTTAGACACTTAATTGAACTTTAATTGACAATTGGTTATATATCTTTATTCTACCTGTTTGAGTAATAGAAAAGATAATTCACTAAAAAATGGCAGTGTAAAAGTAACATATAGAGGAGAATATTAACTTCTAACTTCAGAGCGGTTAAACTTCATGGGATTATGGTAATTGGGAAGAACAGCAGAAAAGTCCTGCCCTGATATAATTCAAGTAACATATGGGCTTATGATACACTCCGCACTACAATCTAACGAACTATTTAAAAGTAGAGATGCTATTCCAGTTCCTCTTACTTTAAAACATTAACTCATATTTTCAGCCCAGAGACTGCTTTGAATGTGCTGTGATTATGGACTTCAACATCCTACGGGCCATTTAAGTACCTTCAGCATCAATTTTGCAGCTGGCAAACTACTGCTATTTATGTTTTCAGTGCATTTGAAATAATCTAGAAGTTATTTTACTTCCATTAGGCATTAAGAAAAGAACCAAATGTAAAATCATTACTTTGCCAATTTACTGTGAAACCCAAAGGAAATGTCTCAAATGTATCATTTATTGAATGGAACTAGTTAACTTTTTGGTCAGGTAGATTCATCAAATGGACATTAAAGATTTTGAGAGATTTTCCATTTGTATTGCTATAAAAATAGAATAGCTGATTAAATATTTCCTCTATGCTAGGTATGACAGCTAATGTTCCATGCCTTGTAATCTTACAAACAGCAAATTAAGAGTGAGTTCAATTCCATAAGAATATTAAGATGGAAATTTATAAAACTGAATAGGTAAGTAATTAACAATAGTCAAAATTCCAGTATTTTTTAAAGCGTCTCTGTGTGTGTACTCCAGAAGATAATAGATAAAGTATATAAAATGTAATAACAAAATAAGAGCTTTGGTTTCATAAAAGCATTCTTAATTTTCTTAACTCATAGTACATGAAGACTGACAGAGCTCATGTTTTCTCATTACCAAATCTGGTTCCTTTGGTCACTCATAAGATCCCTTTTAAATTGGTTTTCATCCCCCCATCTCTGCTGGCTTCTGTTTTCTCAGGCTGAACCACGAAAATGTGACCCTTTATATATTTACCTTATTAGGCATTATCAGGAACTTAAATATTATAAAAAATCATTTGCAGCAGATTTTTTAATTTTTCCTAATCCCCTCCAAAATCATTACCACTGCTTGTCATATGGAACTTCCCTTCCTATGTCTCTTCTTCCATTGGCTCTATCAGTGATATTATATTCTGGGCTCCTGTTCTCACCTTTACCCTCCATTTCAGTAATTCAATGTTCCTGGCTCTCTACTTAAACCACTTCTTTTTCCGCATTCGTAGGCAAAATGATTTGTATCTCCTAAGGACAAGTTGTCTTGTTTGACTAATTCAGCAACTTGTTCCTCTGCTTAAATTTATTTTTCAGTAACTCAGCCTTTCTGCCTTTACTGTGTCCATCTGCCTCAGTTTACACATGACTTTGTATGATGTAGCAGGCAAAACAATGACTTTCCAGGGATCCTTACATATTACTTTAGAACTCAATACTGACTTGGACTGCAAAAGAGATTTTATAATATGATTTGTATTAATAACCCTAAGACAGAAAGTTTATTCTGTCCTGATTTTGAAGGGAAGGACAGAGGCCACAAGCCCAGGAATACTGGAAAGGGCATGAAAATGGCATCTTTCCCAAGCCTACAAGAAGGAAATCAGACCAAACAAATGCTAATATTAGTTGTTTAAAGATTCTTACCTACAGAACTTTCAATGTGCATTTTACATCACCAAATTTGTGATGCTGTGTTCCAGAAGCATTGGAAAAGCAGCATGGGCTCCATCTATCAACAGGACGTTTATGGAGCCTGTTGCTTACAGTGCATCTAGTATATTCTGTCTCTACTTCCTTCCACACTTCTGCCTCAAATATGCTGTCTCTCCTACTATCACTAGTTATTAAGTGACTCGCCGTCTTCTTAGAATGAGTACTTACTTTCACAAACTTACTGAAACTATTTGCCAAAACTGCCTTTAAAGAACTGCTTCTTTCATAATTCCTGGCTACATTCTAAACTTGTGTCCTTATACCCACAGATAAGTGTAGTTCTTACCTCTTATTAAAAAAGCTTCCATTTGCACCTGATAAAGACCATCACAGAAAATCACAAGTGGTCAAAATGCAGAGGACAAGTGGTAAGGCAATTAGGCCAGCTGACACATTTACAAATCTACTCCTGCTCCCACAGCTTCGAAAACATTACAGAAGAGGAAGATTGGAAAAGCAAGAGTTTTAGGAAACCTGCTGTGAGTTTGTGCCCCCAAGAAATGACAGAGACGGGGAAGCTATACCCATGATACCACAGCAATATGATTGTCTAAACAAGACCCAAATAATGACTGTACCAATAGACATGGTCATGTGGAAGGGAAAAATCTCACAGGACCTCATCCATAGACACAAAACTACATGCACAGGCAACTAATGACTTCTGAGAGAAAGGGAATGAGTCAGCTGCAAGGATGAGCTCCATAACGGGTTATACAATATCCCACAGTTATCCCTGAAATTATATACATGTAAGCAACACTAAGCAAACTCAGCAGGTTGCACATGTGAGTGTGTGTGTGTGTGTTTGTGTGTGTGTATGTAAAAGACTGAAAGAGCAGACTATCAGAAAATCTGCTGTGAGACTAAGTAACTAAGAAATAATAAAGAATTTAAGTTCAATATAACTCATTAATAATATCTCAATTCAATACATATTATGAATATATATTGAATTATATTTCAAGGCAATATATATATATATATATATATATTCAAAGAAAATGAGGCCATGAGATTGAAAGTGAGTAGGGGGTACTTGGAAAGGTTGGAGAAAAGAAAGGAAAAGGAAGAAATGATGTACGTATATTTTAATTAAAAATAAAAACAACAGCTTCATTTAGGAATATACTGAAAGTGTCTCTCTATTTCTTCTACAACTTCAACCTACCTGGTCATATCAACTTCCTCTTATATCTCTAAATTCCTTGCTTACTTGGTCTTTATCCTCCCAAGCTACAATCGTTTTCCTTATCCTGAGGCATAGGCAGATTAGATTATTTGAAGTATGTTCAACTCCTCTTAATTGTTTCCTAAAAAAAGGTAGGACATGACCACTCTCTCAGAAGCTCTGAGATCAGCATTCTCTGTCTCTTCTCCCAAATTAGTAAGACACTCTCTTGGCATGCTATTGACCTTCTGGCACTTAACTTTCTTGGGTGCTTCCAGTATACTTAAGACTTCTTGGCTCTAAGTGTGAACTCAGAAGCCTAAAACGAGGAAGAATCTGAGAATTTACAAACAGTTTTCTAAGTGAATTCAAGCTTTTTTTTGAAAAAGTTTTAACAGCTAGACTGTATAAGAGAAGAAAATTTTGCCAATTTAAGTTAATCCTTGTTTTCTTAGATAATGATGGGGAATTTTGAACATGAAATCTTGAAATAGATAAATCCTTAAATCTTTGAGTTAATCATCCAACCATGTCATCTTAAGTTGACAAGTATATAGTCAGTAAAAACTATATTTCTAAAGATTATCAAATAGTTGGAAACATACCAGGTCTTGAAAGCTAAATGAAACAAGAAGAATTGAAAACATGAGTGATTAAACAGAATTAAAATAAACCTAAAGATATTTTTAAATTGAAGGTAATTAATCATAACTATTTTTAACAACCAAGCATTATCTTCTAATACTGTCTTTTGGTGGTTTTTCCTTTCTGTGTGTGTGTGTGTGTGTGTGTGTGTGTGTGTGTGTGTGTGTGTGTGTGTTTTGACTGATAAGAACAGATACTACACTTGATCTTAGCCAAAAGGTCGAGAAGTGATGTGTGTGTGTGTTTTGAGAGAGGCTCTTACTATTGATAACCAAACTGGATTAGAAATAAAATCCTCCTGCCTCAGTCCCCTAGTGCTAGGGATTATAAAATAGGCAGGAAATACAACCAAATACTCAGCTGTGCTTTCTTTTCTATCCCCATTTTTCTCTGGTTTGAAAAAGAAGGAAATGTTATGTTTAGCTTTTTAATTTATTATTATAGCTATATGATGGATGTGAGAGTGTGTGGAGGTGTGTGCATACCATGGCACAAGGGTATGAAAGTCAGAGGACAGTATATGGAGTTAGCTCTGTCCTTCCACCTTGCCATGGGTTCCCCATTACCACCCTAAGGTTTCCAGAGTTAGGTAGCAAGCACCTTATGCCTTGAGCCATCTCACTGACCCAAACTGGTTTTAAAATATAAAACTCAAAATTAATCCATCACCAGGAGGCTGACTGACCTTTGAAAAATTCTGCCACCTCCTCTCCATGGTACCTGATTCTTTGTATCTGTCACTCATTTCATTCTTCAAGGTGAGATGAGAACAAATTTTGAACACAATCATGGCCATTTATCGACAGACTATTTAATTTTTAGAAATCAAGTACACATGAAACTGTGCTTTATCTTATGGAGACTAATTTAAATTCACTTCCATGCCATACAATGCAAGTTTATAAATAAGAAGTCAAAATTAGTTGTTTTGTACTTAGACTTAAACAATGACAAACTTCAACAATGTATAACAAAGGACAACTCAATCAAATCACTATTTGCCTTCACTATAGCCAAAAAAGCACGTCGATGTGGTCACCATTGAAAGGACAGCATTTATGTTTCTACACACTAACAACAGCAGAATCCCTACATAGTGAAAAGAAGCTGCAGGCACTGCTGACAAAGGATAACTATCATCTAAACAGCCCACCATCACCGCTGAAATAACATGATAAATTTGTGCTAAATAGCAATGACAGATGCAGGCACTTTTTACAATAATACAAAATGAGGGTTTCTGGGATGCATAATTTAATTTGCATCCCTGGGGTACGTTTTCATCTTCTTGTCAAAGAATTTACATTCATAACTTGCCACGCATGAATTACAATATAAAGAGATCTGGGATGTTTTTGTTTGTATTTCTATCTTTTCCCCCCTCCCTAACCAAGAAGCTAGAACAATAACTTCAGAACACTGACCATAGTAAGTAAATCACTTGGAATGTTTGTCTTGTAACGCTAGCTCTGTAATTAGTCCAATTTGTGAATTCTGGAGATTTCTGGCTTTATAATGCCTCTAATGTTTTAGACTGTAGGTTCCCACTGACTCATATCTTTTTAAGTCAGTTTTTTGGTAGTTACTACCTTTTCCAAATAAATCCTTGCACAGAATGAATCAATGAGCTCCTGGCACAACCATGCTTTTCCTTTTCTGCTCTTTTGTTCTACTTCTGTTCTTCAGCTAAATGACAAAAAAGGAGGAGGATTTTGCTTGAATTTTGTGTTGCTGTTGTTTCTTTCCCCCAGTGGATTTTTGCTCCTTCACCTTTGAAAGAAATTTTTGTCTTCATATTGATATGGCTTTAAAAAACATTTACATGTCATTTGAAATTGTCTTTTCATTTTATTGTGCCATTGTGTTCTGATTTTAGCTCTCAAATTTGCATGCAGTCTAAGCGTGATACACAAATTTTCTGCAAGAAGAATAGTTTACAATGTTATACAAATTTGATCCTTTCTCATTTATTACAAAGAATTTCTTTAATTGAATCTTCCCAAACGGTTGACATTTCTCAAAATCTTCTGGTGTGATACGCAATATAGTAGTTGCTGCCATATATTGTTTAAATGGGAATGATCTAGATTGAAAGTAATTAGAATTAAATACAGTTTTAAGTTTAATTTTCCAGCCATGTATTCTCATTCTAAGGGTTCAATTATTATATGTAGCTTCCATCTTGAACAGTACAGATATCAAAGGACATTATAGTTATTACTGAAAGTTATAGCAGAAAGCATCGATCTGTGTGAAATCATACTGTCTGAGACAATAGAACTCTATTGTGGCCAGCTTAAAGTGTAAGATATGGAAGACATGCTACTGTGAATAGGTACTGTGTTTTCTGAATGTAGTGAGTGCAAGATAAACCAGATAAAGAAAGAAGATTAATGTTAATGAGATGGCAAACTTGAGTAACATGTTAGGATTTATGTAATAGTAAGCCCACTTTACCAAAAAAAAAAAAATCTTGCACCTGATTAAAGTCTACTTGATAACTGTAAATATTCTGAAATAACATGGAGAGTCATTCAATCCTAAATGTATTGTGGATCAACTGCTCAATAATTTGACCTTCTGCTGTGTTCTAATTTAGCAGATGATACTCACAGGAGACCATATAGATTCACATGGTAAATGTTTAAAATCTATTTACGTTTAATGTTTAAGTTGTTCTAAATGCTATTCAGAAGGATCATTGAGATACGGGGAAGAAGAACCAGAAAATGCAGCATTTCCTACAGTCCAAAATATGTGTCTTTCAAAGGATGGATTCTTTTCATTTTCCTTCTATAATTTAACTAACAAATGTTGACACTCGATTACAGGAAGAATGATGTCTTAAAATTACATTCTATCTTCAAAACTGTCTCAAACCTAACTGTTCACAGAAAAAGACAATTGTTATAATATCAGGACAGACAAAGGAGGGATAAGACAAATGTAGAGTTATGATAAAGGAAAGAAAACAAACATATGTATAGCCAGTGTATTTCACCATTTAGCTCAGATAACAGTCCTCAAAATCTACATGATGTAGTCCCAACAAGGAAAAATAGGTTTTATTAGGGTTTATTTTTATCAATTTTCTGATTTTTTTCATCTCTGTATAAGCTCTTCTGGAATAATATTCTCTAACTACGGTTTCTTTTATGATATAGGTAGGAAACATAAATTGGTATGAAACTCAAATTTAAAAACTGTATTATTTAGAGAATGAAAAATGATAAAGACTCCATTAAAGGTAAAGGATGACAAAATATATAATACCAGATTTAGGGTATGTTCCTGCATATTACAAGAGAACAGAATTTGTTTAAAAGTCACGGGGCTTAAATACATGTAGTTCTATTTTTTATTGTGCAATTCTATATGCATTTATATTTTCCTTTTGAAAAAAAAATGTTTATAAATGCAGCTGTAAATTGTGTGCTCACTCTCTTGCTTCTAACTCTCTCTTTCAGCTTCTAGATTCGGTTCCTGTTCCCCATTCATGCAGAGGACTCTGATCTAGGACTGTGATCTGTATGTCTTCCCCTAAATAAATAACCCTTTGTTATATGCAATTCTGAACTAGTACAGGATAATTTTGTAACTTCTGGCATCATCTGATGCCCAAACATGGAGATCAGTCCACCCTTTTGGGGACCAGTTCACCAGCTACATGACACATTGGGCACTAACTCTCCTGACTGTGGCTATAGCAGGCGCGAAAACTGTAACAGGCTGTGGCTCACAACCCACACCCTGCTGCTCCACACATTACACACTGTCCCATATGCTGCTGCCTGCAATCCCCTCAGTGTACACAGTACACAATTTGCAGCAATGGAAAATATTGGTTTTTCTCTTTATCCTGGGCCTCAACACTCAGAATCATTTGATTGCCTTAATAACTGCTCTTAATTTGTTAAAAAAAAAAAAAAACATATTCTTTAGTACCTCAGTAAGCAACACTTGCTGCTCACTGCTGCTAACATTTCTAGGCCATGCGGCTGCGACTGTGACACCTGCTGGCTGATAATGATTATTACACCTACTCCAATTCAATGTAATTGCCTTACAGTCTGTAAAATCTGACAAATTACAAAAATTACTGATAGCATAACTATCCAGGAATCTAATAATTATTTTGCTTATAATGTGGATGATATTCTACAAGGATTATGTAACTTTTCTTCTACATCTTGTAGACATAAATATCAAAACAGTCCCACACCAGTTTGGAATTATGATTAATAAAAGGGTTATTTATTTAAGGGGAAAACTTACAGATCACTGTCCTAGACAATAGCCTTTGTGCAGCCAGGAACAAAGTCTAGTAGCCAGAAGCAGAGCCGGAAGCAAGAGAGAGAGAACAGGGCTACCACTGCTTTTTAAAGCAAAAGAGACCACGCCTAAGTTGTCTGGTATCTTAAAGGCTATTGGTTGACGGAGCAGAAGGAGCTCCTACAGCAACATCCCTTTATTTGATTCTAGAAATTCGTTTTGTTTTTCATATTAACTCATTAAAAATGGTTTGATAATAGGACCAAGAATGAGGCACTTTTAGAAATAATACAGTCTTTACAGAGTAATAATAGACAGCTAGTTGAGAAGATCAATACTATGGAGAATGATAGCATCAGTTTGACAAAACAACCTGGAATAATGTGTGCTGTTGAATTTAACAATCAGAATCTGCTAAAAAGTTATGATAGATTAATGGATAAAATATCTCTCCAGGAAGGTAATGTGCACACAATCAAAATTATTTTCAAGGATAAGACTTTATCTTTACTGGACAAATTTCATACACTGGAATCCTCAGTGAGGGCATTAGAACAGAACATTAAAAGGAGATTCAGACTTTACAAAAGACAATAGTAAAAGGACTGAAAAGATTGAGTAATTTATTGAAATTGATGAGCAGGGATAGAAGATAGGAGGACAGGATTTAGCTTCATTAGTACATGCCATATCCTGGAATGTACAGAGTTTCACCTGCATATCTGGTAATTTCCTTGGAAAGACCATCAGTCACAAAGTACCTTAAAGTAGTAAAGAATATGCATGGGAACCAATAGGTATGAGCAATCTAAAAGAAATTAAATGAGCAGTAGTTTCTTAAGGACTACATTCACCTTTTGTCAGAAATATGTTGAAAATGTGGGTATCAAGAACAAAGGCTACCCCACATAATTGGCTTCAGTTAATCTCAATGGTCCTAGAAGATAGACTTCAGCTTCT